ATTCATAGTAAACAAGCATGAACCAGCGATGGAACGATTCAACTATTGAAACTCACGCTTAATTTTACGAAAAGCTTTTGCAGTTCTATTCCTGTCTGAGGTTTCTTCCAGTCCTCACTGTGATAATTGTATTCTTCAAAGTTTCGTTTGAAGATCTCATCGCGAAACTCGGGAATCATGTAGAGACTTTGTAACAAACTGTTCATATAGCACGTATTTCCCAGATTTCTCAACCCGGAATATTTTAGCTGACCTGCAGAGTGGATAGACAAACCAAGCGGTGTATTGAGACCGGTGAGTTTAAACACACACACAGCGTTTTTCTTCGAAATAAAAAACCAAAAAAGGAGCGGTCCGGTCTCATTGATTACGTGGTCAGGTGGGGTGTTTGTTTGTAAAAATGCAAATGCAAATGTCTTTTTAATTTGTTTGTGATAACCAACAAAGAGCAGGTTTTTCGTCCTGTTTGGGACTCGTCAGCAGTGCACGTACTTTTTGTGTCCCTGTCGGGGTTCGAACAGCGAACTTTCCAGTCCGGACTTCAAACACTTACCCCCGAGCTACACGGTCGACGGTTATCACCTTTGTGACTAGCTCAATCAATTTTAGAGAAGCAAGCTTGGATTAGCCCATTCGTTTATTAAAAGGCACCCAAGAGTGCTACTCTAAAATCTTTTTACATTCTTTTGTGTTTACTGAATGTAGAAAACTATTAGGAAGCGAGCCGCGGTCATACAACGAATGCTCGGGAAAATGATGAAGACGGGCGGCGATGGAGCGGTTTGGAACCCGGGTCATTTATCCAATCAATTGGACATTCGGCTATGAATTTTGTGTATTTTTAGTGTCAGGTGCTGCTTATAGTGACGTTTTAGCTGATCGGTTACATTCGAAGAACTAAACGTCGATTTTTTCTTTGGGCGTGGGTATTGTTGTTGGATCAATCAAGAATAGCAGCCCGGAAAACGGGGTGTATCACACTTTTGTGCCCAGCGAATCTGCAAGCTTCCTGGGGAATTCTTCTGAAAATGGCTAACACAGTGGTAAATTGGTCAGTTCCCCGGTGACCATTGGATAAGGCATGGTACAAGCGCCGACGATCAGTGAGTTCTAACGATGCGGCGGGTTTTGTCTTCTCTCGTTGGAGCACCGGTCGGCACAGAACACAACGCAGCAAATATCCCGTCAAATTCATCCTGAACTCTATGCCAACCTGAAACGTTGGTTTGCCGGTTGCATCCGAGCAAAATGAGGTCCAGAATCTGAGCTTTCCTCGCGTCACAGATAATAATCTGAAAGCAATATTAGGTGCGAGTTTTTAGTGGCAAAAGTGTTTTTGATCAACCGGTTCAAAAATCGCGCGGTACGCTTCTTGTTTTTATCATTTGATTTCATTCTGTGGGAGGCAGGAAAATCGTACACAGTCCATGAAGCTTATGTATTAGAACCAGCTCATTCAAACATCCCAATAGAAATGTGAAATGATTCTCGGCACGTCCACTTTTTCAATTTATCCCTTGACGGCATTCTGCTTATGGGTTTAACACCAGAGTGAGCACACCCTAACGGTCGATTGAACTGTGTAGCCCAGTCAGTCGGCAAAGATCCTAATCTGCATATTCTAACTTTATGCAGTCAGTTTTCAAAGAGAATGAGGGTCATTTGTTGAGCTAGTACTGAGTAATCGAACTTTCTTCAACGTGCCCATTCAATTACCACATTCATAATTTATCTACCGTTTAGTTGTGCTCTTTTTAACTCTCCGACTCCGGAGCAGAAACCGTACCTCATCGATCCACGTTTTATCAGCGCATTATGTGTGAAACCAAGTCACGCACCACTTGGTTCACATCGAGGACTATTTACCAGACGCCGCTAATTCACTTCATGTTCAACACAATTTCCTATCCGCGGAGCCATTGAAGTTACATATTTACTTTATTCTTCCGTTTCCTTTCCCTGGAAAATTTGGACCCAAGTTAGAATTAAATGGGATCATTTCACTAAGGTTTAACAGGAATGAGCAACATAGTCTGCCAAGTTCAATGGAAGAAGACTGGCTACAGTCAATTCCGGAAATTTCCGATCACCGTTTTCACGTACAACTTGCCACCACGCTATGTTGCGTCATCACGACATGATCGAGATCATGATTCAGTTCGTCCAGTAGGTTAGAGCGAGGCCAAGGTAACTAGAGTGCAATAGGTGAAAAAGGTTATCAGAAGTTTCCAGAATTCGCCTCTGTCCATTGTTTCTCCATTTGCCCATGTTGTACCATACACACATCCTCCCTGGCAGACAAAGATAGAAAGCTCAGTAATGAAGATAGTAACCGCCAGATATAAATGAAAGGTCTCAATAAAGTGTTTCATAACAATGATGATCCGCCTCTCCCGGGGAGGTGCCAGCTAAAAGCGTACAAATGATGCAATCTACAGGAAAAAGACCGAGTAGCCACTATTGGCATTTCACACAGAAGAAATCCTAAATATTCTCGGAGATATTAACATAAACAGATTCTTCCGGGTTCACAACACTCTGACAAGCCATCTCATGAAAGCCAACGATTTTTCAAGATCAAAATAATTACATTTGCAAAATGAGTTATAAAGAATATTCCGCAGAATACATTGGGCAGACCAGTAGACAACTTTAGACAAGAATAATTCGAACATAAGAGAAAAGAAAAACATTGGCATGCGGACAAAGCAACTCTGTGAAAACAAGAACGAGACTCAGCCATCACTCTTCACGCCCATAGCCGAAAGTCACACCACAGAATACGACAACCGGAAAATACTCCATCTTGGATTTCTTATATGCATTGAACGCTAGAAGCTTTGGCCATTAACACTAACTCAGCTTGCGTCAACAAAAAGGACGGAATCGAGATCTCGAGTAGTGGGACTATCCTAACATCACTAATGCGTAATCAAGACAAAGGTCACTGTGACCCACTTGACCCCATCTGGAATTAGTATGACACAACGAATCATCAGCCCACCAGACGAATTCACACACACACACACACACACACACACACACACACACACATGACGGAACATCCGGTGATTTTTGATCCTTCCCTCTGAGTCATTTGATTGTAATACCTACCTTGAGAAAGGTTAACCGAGACATCGACAAACAAATTCTCTACTGACAGCGCTGTGTTACTAACATTATAACATTCACATTACTTGCACACATTGTTGTTCTTTTCTATTTAACGTTAATGAACATTTAATTCTACTCGATATAAGAACACACGTGAATGTGAATGTCTGAATACAAATTTAGGAGACCATATCTGTTCGCTATTTCGCTTGTCTTTTGATATTTTTGATACATGCCGGTGAAGGTAAACCGACTGCCGTCCACACAAATCGGATTGTCTAATTCTTTTCTTCCCATACTTTGGGAATCGTGAGCACAGTCAAAACACCGGTTTACTATAGACTTCTGTGGGATTTGTTAACTCCATGTTTTTACCAACATTTATCATGTCTTGGCCTTGTGAACGGTGCATACAGATTCGAAATTTGACTGAAAAGAAGCGTATTTCACTCTTTTTATTTTTTATTTCTTTTTTATTTTACTTCCTTTTATTGAATTTGTAAACATACATTTATCGGGAAGGGGGAAGCGGCCAAGTGAAAGGTTGCCGTTCACCACACCATGGGGAAAGTTAAACAATGCTGGGGTGATTCGAACACACCCTCAGGGCGATAGTTTGATGACGTTACCACCGGGCCACCGCCGTCCACCTGTCTGAAAGATGCATAATGCTTTCCCTGCACCACCTGTGATCGAATTCAACTACCGTTAGTGTTTGTCATCAAAAGCGTGCAACATACCTGACGACAATTCAGTAGCTACTGGCTACCGCTCAATAACCGTGATCTTAATTTAGCACCAACGTCCTCGGGTAGAATAAACTCAACTTTCCGACACAATCCAACCGTATAGCTAGCTTATCATCACCACCAATGTTTTGACTTGGTAACGTGACTTGACAGCCATATATGAGTCACGCGACAATATCTTACTCAGGTAAGGAGGAACACAAAGAGGACGATTTTGTGCCTTGACGAAGCAAACATTAAATGACCAATCAAGAATACAGGTTTGCAGACCTTAGTCATTTCTCTGAGGTATGATTCAACCAAAAGTTAGATGGTTTGATGCCATGAACGGAGTGGGTAAACAACAAACAACTGCNAACTGCTAATTGGTGCATCTGTTTGATCTACAGGAATAATCCGGAGCTGATCCCTGTAATCCCGTAAGAGATTTACTACCGCTCGAATAAATGCACTCAATGTTGCCTCCATCATGACTACTCGATACCAGTATTGAGTTACCCACTTATGGGTGAACTGGGCCATTGTCAAGAAAGAATACCGACACAATATCTGGTTGCTCGTTTGCAACACTTATTAACTGCACACATTTTCAGAAAGCCGCAAATCATGGCCGTGTTCCTTTCAGTGTGACCAGCAGAATGTCACTTTTATTAAACGTATAAGAAATGTTTCCGATATGTGATCCTGTACTTTTTGAACAATGAAGTGATGTATTCCACATTGAAAGATGGAAACGTCTTGATGTTTTTCCGTCCTTAGATAAATGAAAAATTGTCATGTGACTGAATACTTACCAAGACATCTGACGGAGTCAAAACTGCGGACTTGTTTGGATTTTATGCAGTATGGATCTTCTAGAAAGGAGTTTGTGGTTAGAATGCCCCAGACTTTGCGTTGTATAATACAGCCTATTATCAATTACCAGTCGCTCGGAGCCACTAAATGATTTCTGGAATTTGCTAGATGGTGACAAGCCTGCTAAACAACGTCAACCCCTTGAGATAAGTGCTAAGTATCATGTACAACCAGATGCATTAATGTGATGAGTCAGCCCTCCGAGATGACGCCAGCCAAGTGCCCACGTATTCCAGTGTCTAAACAACGGAGCATGGGCAACATTATCGACTAATCAACAACCAGACAGTGCAAATTGAAGGTGTGTAACTGGAAGAACGAAAACTGTCATTGGCTGATATTCGTTTAACGAATGATATTTCTCCTTACGCATTATTCAATCCCATTGATTCCTCTAAATAAACGAACCCCTATTTCTGTGACCTTTATCCTGCATATCGGTGACGGGAGACTCCGGCCTACAATAACTAAAGCAATTCTTTGCTGCA